ATATTCGGCATTTCCAATAACATTTTCTATTTCAGATCATTTGTTTATAGTACTAGAATAGTTCATTACCACCCGAGACAGGTTTTTCCAAACGCGACAGCTTTTTCGCATGACTGTATATTACACAATAATTAAATATATTAAATACATACATTTTAAAGAATAAACTACACAAAATACAATAGTTTTTTATAAATATTAAAAAATATTAAAGTTGAATGTTATGCTACACAATGGGTATAATATTTCTAATTTAATTATACACAAAAAATAAATAAATTATATTATAAATGTAAAAAATGGAAACATATGCGATTGAAAAGACTTTTTTATTTACACAATTTAATTGAATTATAATTAATTATTCAATAAATACTAATTTGACTTTAATTTTAGTATTTGAGAGTAAAAAGTTTGTATAAATATAAAATGAAATCTATCAAAAACAATGGAAAGTGAGTTGTCAGCACTTTCAGAACTCTGCGTTGAAGCAGCAAAAGCGGTGGCAAAACTTCACGAAGCAAAGGAAAAATACAATTATGTTGATGACAAGTCACTTGACATTGCACAACAAATTCAGAATGCAGATGTGTACTTCGACAAAATTAATGAAGAGTTCAAAAGAAAGAAGAACATTGCAACTTCACTCGACACATTCATTGCCACTTTTGACCACACATACACCAAATTCAAAAAAGAGTTAGCTTCATACAAAACACTTGATGATAACAACAAGTTAACTGAGATATGCAAACTAAGAATGTCACTACACGAGGAGAAGTGCAATATGAAGACATAATCAAAAAAATCTACGAAGCTGAAAACACCAAAATGGATGAAATAAAGAAGTTTATCAATTTAAATTTACAACACAGTGAAATTGTTGAACAACACAAAAAAGAAGAAAAGATGGCAAAAACAGAGAAAGTAGTAGAAGAAAAAGAAGAAAAAATTGAAAAAGAAGAAAAAACAACAAAAATTGATGAAAAGGTAGAAAAAGAAGAAGCCGAAAGAATGGAACGAGAACACATCACATTTGAAGAGAAAGCCAGTCTTGAGAAATTGACAGGTCATAAACTTGGTGTTGTTTTGTTCGACTCGAACAAAGAAAGTTGGTCACTGGGTACATCTATGTTAAATGCTCGAGTTATTAATGAGAGCAATTTGTGTTTTTTGATTGAAGACACAAATCACAACAAGTTTGGTGGCGTGTACACAGGCAAAATCACTACCATAGTAGATTATATGTCCAGTAATAGTTCATACATCTTTTCACTTGTAAGAAATGGCATTTTGAATCCAAAAATTTTCAGAAAGAGCGGTTTTTACCCATATAAAGAATTATATTTGGATTCTCAGAACAAAGATATACTTTTTGAATTTGGTGATGATATATGTGTCCGCAAGAAAAATCAAATAAGAAGTAGTCGTTGCTCGCCCATGGTTTACACGGCGTTGGAACAAGATTTAACGGATTATGATACATTTACAGTTAAGAATATTGTCGTCTTCCAACTTAATTGAATTTTTATTTAATTTTATATATATTTTAACAAATAACAACATGTTTATGCTAAAATGTCATTTAAATTTGTTATCAATAAAACAATTTACCAGTAAATTTCTGCTAATCATTTTTTATTATGAAAACAATTTTAAATATTACTTTTTTAAAATATTATTTAAGCGTTTCCAAAATAATTATTGCCGAAAATGTGGTATAATAACGTACGAATTTAAAGAAAATGAACATTTTGGTTATGAAATGGTGACGTGGGTAATTAGGATTGTGATTTTGGAAACCTCTGATAATATTAACAATTTATATTCTAATTTAAAAACAATTTAATTGTTAATAATAACTTGAATATTATTACAAATCAGAGTTTGTTTTAAAAATTCAGCTTAATAAAGATAATAATCTAATTGTATTTTTTATGTACATATATAAGTCTAAATTTACAACAAGTACCAAGGTTTTATTTTACTATTTAAAATCTGTTCTAATAATAATGAATAATTTTTTGTTAATTGTTTTTGAATGATGGTTCAAATTTGTAAATACAACTGTATAAATAATATTAATTATTCGTCGAAACATTAGCACCACAACTGCAACTTTTGTTCTATGTCTAGGATGTTTTGAACAACAAATTCAATTGTTTCTATTCAAAAATAAAACATATTTGATTAAAAAATAAATTAAATTATTCATATTTTAGAATGTTTTATTGTATAATTTTACTTAACACATATTCGCTATAAATAATTTGATTACTATTTACTATACACCGTTGTGCTAATTGTATTCAGTTAATTATTTACTCTGTCAAACATCTTTTGCATGACATCCACAACTTCCTCGCTTGTGATTCTTTCTTTCCATTTTTTGTGCCCACATCTCTTCAAGTAAACGTCGTTCTTTATAACTCAAACATTTGTCATCTGGTCGCTTTCCTTTCGAAATCAACTCAGGAATTTCAAAGAAGTATTTTATGTCTTCAAAAGCGTCTTTCCAAGTAAATGCCTCAAAGAAAGTAATTCCAAGTGAGTACACGTTTGCAGCAATTGAGTACTTTTGTCCATTCAATAACTCGGGCGCCATATACTTTGGTGTTCCAACGCCCTTTGTGAATGTCAAATTTGACATTAACAAATTTTCATTTCTTGCACTAACAAAGTCTGAAAGTTTAGCGTTGACTTCAATTATACTATTTAATTCAACAACAAGAATATTTCCTGGCTTGATGTCTCTATGAAAAATTCCATTGAGGTGTAAATAGTTGACACCCTTTGTAGCGTCCAATAAAATTTTGTACCGAATTTTTTGTGGTAATATTTTTTCGTTAGTATTTTGCACGTTATTTGCACTATTTTTCACTTTATAACTTTTAATGATCTAATTTAGACTCCCATTTTTGATATACTCCATGACAATCATATGCTTTCCACTTTGATATACAGCTCCAATGAATTCGACTATATTTGGATTTCGTATCTTTTGTAACATGTCGACTTCTGTTGTGAACTCATCGTCTTTGACATTTTTAAATTGTCTGATTTTCTTCACTGCGACTGTGCGCCCTTTGTACGTTGCTTTAAAAATAATTCCAACACCGCCTCGACAAATTTCAATCATGTCTGTGATGCTACTGTCGTCAATCCACGTTGAAAGTGCTGTTGAAAATATAAGTGGAATTCTCTTAGTCAACTCAACACCGCGTTTTAGAAAGACGCAACTTAATGTCAATGAACTTTTAAAATCGCCAGAATACGTCGGTTAAATTTCAATTATGAAAAGACATGCGTCTTTTGGTCGTAAAGTGACGACTTTTAGTGAGACTGTGATTTTGTAACTTTTACGGTGCATGTAAACCAACTGCAGCTTAACAATAGATTTTGATTTATTTGCAAATATAACCGTTTTTGTACTCATTCTATTAACTGGTAAGTCAACACCAAAATCCAATTGAGATGAAGTTGTGTATATATTGTCTATTAATGGTTTCATTTGTTCTCTAACACTCCGTATTGAAGAAATTCCTTTCTTCTTTCTCTCCACATTAAGATGATGTCTTTGTATAATATATAATCCAACAAAACTCATTGGTATAGTAAATATGATTAATAAAAATATACATCCAAATATCACAATAAGAAGAATTTTAGTCATATTTATTTTATCACAAGATATCATGTCAGTACTAGATTCGTACCAAAAGTTGTATTTCTTACACATTGAGTTGGTGATCAATATACAGTGCTCTATATATAATCGCTCTGTGCATTTACCAGTTGATAAGACCATGTTGTTACTACACTCATTACAATAATCTGCTGAATTACAAGAAGAGCAGTTTTGCTTGCATTGAATACAACGCAACTTACTTTTGTAATACCCTTCAGAGCACTTCAAACACCCCAAAGTCTCTGATAATTCGCCACAATTTGTGATGTCATACACACTCTCACAAACTTCGGTTTCATTCATAAAATACGTGTTATCACACTTCTCACAAATTTGGTCGTTTTTACATATAACACATGGATATGGACATTTCACACAAGTTCCACTAGTAGTACTATATCCATTAATACACTGTGAGCATTGCCCATTCGCATCATACGAAGTACAAATCCCTTCAAGTGCAAAAATGGTGAGACACTTCCCATTTGATAGCACCGTGCCTGTGATGCAACTGTGACACTTCTCGGAGTTCTCTGTACATTCGGTGCACTTTGTGTTGCATTTGCTGCACTTGTTTTCTTTGTCAGTGTAATACCCCTTTGCACATCGAAGACATCCAATTGGTGATAACAATTCACAATTATCACTTTGTGCGATGGCGCCTTGGTAACACTTTCCACGTTACAGAACATAATCAGACTCACACTGATAACACACATCTTCAATAAAATACAAACACTTTGTAATAGAAGTAAGGTACTTACCATTCTCTGATAATAAAAAGTGATCTGGACACAATTTTAATACTTCTGATGTGTTTAATGTTTTTATTAAAATCACACAATTTTGTGAGGCGTCAAGTGCATACCCAGAAATGCATTTAGTGCATTTTTTCTTGTTACACAATTCACAGTTTAAAAATGTTGTTTTACATAAAAAAACAAGTGTTTTGGTTATTATAGTGCCCATCCGCACAACTAACTATAGAACGTGAGTATACTATCTTCTCTCCAATTCCTTTCAGTTGACATTTTCCATTAATTAAAAATGAATTTGACTCGCATATAAAACACTCATTAAACGAACAAGATAAACATAATTCGTCAGACTTTTTAAATTCGTGTTTTTGGTAGTGAAAAAATCCGTTCAATTCGACACAAATTCCGCCATATATTTGTTTACAAAACTGTTTTTTAATACAGCTACCTGCCATGTTCATAAAATAGCCATTTTTACATTGTATAGCATATGTTTTATTAACACAATTTGTTGAATTATTTCCACATTTATTATTTTTATTATTTTCAAAATACATATGAGAAATGTACTTCCCTCCTTTTTTAGTTTTTCCTTTCATAATATTGTTATAGTAATACACGGAGTCGTAATCATTTCCATTTGAATATTCTAAATATTTTTTACTCATTAAAAGAATCCCTTGAACGCTTTCATAACCCTCAAATGTCGTGTACAAATCGTCACTGATTATATACACTACAAGGGTAATATTTGACTTTTCATATATATCCATATCGTTCGTTTCAAAACAGACAAAATTCACAACTTTATTTGTGAACTTTGTCAAAGTGTCTTTGCAATTTACTGTAAAAGTGATTTCTGAGCGGCTCACAATCACAGATTTTGCAATATAATTTGTACAGTACGGAATTTGCTCTTTCAACAAATTTTTCTTTTCGATAATTCCAAAATTTCCTTTGAAAAAACATTTTTTACATTTATCCACAACAACATCAACTAAAAAGTCTTGTTTGAAGTCAATGTAGACTTCTTCTATATCCGACCCAATACTAATGTTTTTAACTTCAGAGATGACAAGCATTGGATGTGTTTCATTACTCGGGTATGGGCAATGTGGGTGAGTAAAAGATGTGTACAAATTGTTAAATTTGAAGCTATTATTAAAATTACTGTAGTTAATATGGCAATAGACCTCTGTTGGGAAAATTACTCCCTTTGAGGTTTTTTGTTTTTCCAAAATTCGAGGAACAATTTGGGAAACGTTTTTAAAATTATTTTTAAAACTGTTTTTGGCTGTTTTAAATTCTTCAAATAGAATTTGGTCTTTGTTTTTGACAAATTTGTTTTGGTTTTGAATAGCAGTGGCGTATTTATCAGGACAATATCTGATTAATCTACCATTTGACACAATTAGAAAATTTGTTAGGTACTCGAAAGGTAGTACTTTGTTATCGATCGACATGAAGTCGAAACAGTTTTCTGAGAATATCAACAGTTTTAAACCAAACTAAATAGATCCATTTAATACCATAAAAATTGTTTTTTTGTATATTTCAGCGTTATAAATAAACAACTGAATTTGTAAAAAGATTCTTAATGAATAACATTGTCGTGATTGTTCGTAATTCTTTTCAGTCAGTGTTTTACAATACGTTTTATTAAGGTGTTTACTATATATTAAAAACATTGTTCCATTTTCAATTTCGATGTGTGTATTATGTTTAAAATTGCTGTTAAAAAAAGAACAGCGAATTGTATATTTCGTAGTGCGACCCACTTGGGAATATCCCACGCGACGAGTCCCAAAACTCTATACACAAGTTGATCGTTAAAAAACACTTGAACTAAATTCCACACTTGAGTAATTATTGAAAGAGAGAAAACAGTATGTATAAAATAAGTTTAGATACACTTGTGGGAGGTCTATAAATATAGTGATATTATCAGAATACTTCGATATTGAATTATTATAATATATTAACACAGTGTTCAGTTGAATATTAGAATTCTTTTCGAAATACATTTGTGACGAATTGTAACACGTGAATTTGGCTGCCTCGAGATAGACAGAGTCTTTGAAAGTTGATTTAGAGTAGTCATTAAGTATAATAAAACTAATAGATTCTATTTTTGCGTGGTCATAAATTAAGAGGGAAGAATTGTTATTAAAAATAAGACCTTTTTCTTTTGTTAATATTTCATCTGTTGAATGAAAATAGCCGGCTATTTTAAATAGAGAATAGTCTGACAGTGTTATCCTATTTAAAGCAGTGACAGAAGTGCCTTGGTGTATTTCAAATTCTGATGTATTACATAGAACAATAACACCATCTAACACAACATTTTTATTATTTTTGTCATTCAAATTTGAATTAAAAATATCCAATTTTGCAACATCAAAAAAGTTAATTACATTGAAAGTGATACTCCTTTCATTTGCATCAATTTTAAATTAAGAATTGTTTCTCATTTGTATCATGTTTGAGTGCAGTCTAAATTTATCAATAAGTGTAAAAATAGAATCACCACTTGATATTATATTTTCAACGTTTAACACACTCAAAGCTTTTATAATAACATTTGAATCTAAAACTTCAAGATTTTTGAAAGTACAAATTCCATTAAAAATTACTTCACGTTGATTACTTGTTTTTATTATCAAATTATTTAAAACGTTTTCTCTTGAAAATATTAAAGTCGATACTGATATTTAAAAAGACTTTTCTTTTGTTGTATTCAAAAATTGGACTTCGTCTAAAGTTAAAGTCGAATTTTTATTAATTTTGATATTTTCAAATTGTAGTGAAATTGACGATAAAATAATTTGTGTGTTCTTCTCTGTTGATATTGTGTTGATGTATAAAACACTTTTTGAATTTGCTAAAAACGTTGTGTTTTTATTTAAATACATATTGGTACATTTTACTTCACATTTTTCACATTTAATAATTGTGTTTTCTTCAATAAAAATGTCTCCAGAAATCACCAACTTCCCTCCTTTCAAAATTGTGAGACTTTTAGTAACTTTGAAATTTCCAGAAACAAAAATAGACCCGTCACTAAACTTTATTAAATAATTATTGCCTATTAATTTTTAAAAAATAATTTAATCATAACAATGTTAAAATATACATGAATTACTTCATTGTAATTAATCTTAAATATGTGATCGATTTTCATTGTTGTTATAATTTAACCTCAAGTTTATCAAGAAAAAGTTGAATTTTTTTTACATACAACAAAAAATAAACAATGTTTAATCTTAAAAAGAAGATGTTAATTTTTATAATAATTATTTGTATTGAATTTTCAATTGGACAACCCGAAAGACAAGACGAACATGATCAAAAATCAAAACAAAAGAAACAAAGAAAAGGACGAAAAAATCGAAAAGAAAAATTAGAAGAAACAGACTATTCAACTGTTCCAAAAGATTCGTTTGAAAGTCTGACTTTAAATCCAACAGAAACAGAAACACCTTATGTACGTCCAAAGGTTAAATCTGAATTAAAAACAAAACACAGTTCTTATCCTTCAATGGAATTATTCAAGCAACAATTTCCACCTGTTACAAAAAGTCGAAAAGAGAGAAGTACTTTCAATCAAGTGAGGAAGAAAATAGAAATTCAACGAAACAAAGAACAAGAAGAGTCAACTCATGAAATTTTTCAAAAAGTACCTTTTTCGAATGAAAAAGATTTTACAGAAAAACATTTAGAAATTCAAAATCCTTTAAAACCAGTTGAAAGTAAATTAACAATAAAATTAGACGAAAAAACTCTTAGACATTTGAGGGAATACGATTTGTGTAGTTTTTATAATAAATATGCCAAAAAATTCCAAATTCTAATTTTTGTCCTTTTTTGGCCGGGAGAAAAATGCCAAATGGAAAATTCTTGTAGTTTTCCACTCAAAACAACAAAATTCAAAGAAAGATTTTTTCTCCATGGATTATGGCCAAATTTTTGGGCAAATCAGAATATGTTGTGTTGTTCGACATATTACACTCCATTAATGGTTGAACAAAGAATAAGAGAAGATGCCAAATTGTTTGAGTGTGTTGTTAATGACTGGATGTCTGTTGAAAAGTGTCGTTTTGCAGCTTTTCAGATGGACAAACACGGGAGTTGTGCTTCGAATATTTATGATGGAGAAAATGGATATATTGATTATATGAAACTCACATTAAAGTTGTATGAAAGTGTTGATTTGTGGCAAGTTTTAAAAGAGAGTATCCTTAAAGTCGAAGTTGAAAAGGTTTATGAAATAGAAGATATTAGAAATGTGGTTGCAAATGTGTATGGAGCTAAAGTTGCCTTCTTCTGTCGAGAAAGAGGATTTTTGCAAGAAGTGAGAATATGTTATGACCCTTTTGAAAACAAATATGATCCAAAACCCGTTGAATGTCCTCCTAAATTATATAAAGATGAAATGAGAAAATGTGGAAATAAAATTCAAATAAGGAAATACCCACCTTATTTATTAGATCCAAATAAAGTACCAAGAAATGATTGTGAGTTTTAAATATAATTGTAAAAAGATAAAGTAACAAAATTGTGTTTAATTGATATTTGTATTGATATTTATCGTCTGTTTTTGTAAGTTTGATTGTTTTATTGTTGCAACCATTAAACAACTACAAACACTTTGAAAACGTGTTAAAAACAAATTTATCATAATTAAAAAAAATTGATTTCATTATGAAAAAATAAATAAAAGAATTGGGAACAATTTTTAAAACAATTGTTATTTAATACTCACAGTTATTTCTTGGTGCTGTAATAGGGTCTAATAGATATTTTGGAAACTCCCTAAACATGACCATGCGTTCACATGTTTCTTCATCTCTTTTGTATATTGTTCTTTGACAACTTCGTGGTTTGGGGTGAAACTTATCTTCAGATATGTCATAGCAAACTCTCAATTCCAATACTTTGTTAGTATCAACACAATAGAAAGCTGGTTCAGCGCCATAAGTTTCTTTTATTATATTCTTAAGTTCGTTTTTATCATACAACTTTTCAGTCTCAACTCTCAATCTGCTATCTTTTAAAATTTGCCAAATATCGATCTGATCCTTAAGATAAATAGCAACTCTCATATAATCTAAAGGACCATCTTCGCCAGTATAATGTGTCATTGAACAAGTTCCATGCTTATCAAACTGATAAATTGCAAATCGACACCTTTGTAGAGACATCCACTTGTTTCTAATTAAAGTCAGAAGTTCTGTATTTTCTTTCATTTTTTGTTCAACCATGATATCATTGATATCGACAAGACAGCACACATAATTTCTGTTGATTTCCAGTTGGGGCCATAATCCATGAAGCATAAACCCTTCTTCGATTTTCGTTGTTTTCATTGGTAAAGAACATTTATCTTCAATACATTTTTGACCTGGCCAAAATTGTGTGAAAACCATCAACTCCAGTTTTCTATTCGTCCTCTTGTAAAATCTGCAAAGTTCATAATTTTGAAGTTTATATATTGTAGATGGAAGTAACCCACTTTCGGTTGGAAAATCAATTGGGGTTGGTTCTTGTTTTGTTAACGGGGCAAATGGAGCACTTGGATCTCCTTCGGGAAATAAACTCTGCCGAGTGACTCCTTTCTTTTGCCTTCTTTTTTGCCATTTTGAAAGGTGTTGTGTTTGTGGAGATTGTTGTTGAGGTGTAGTGTAATGTGGTCTTCTGTGTGTATAGTGTTTAGTTGTAGTTTTTGGACGGACGCTTTGTGTTGAAATTGTTGGGTAATCGTGTGGTGATGAAGAAGTAGTATCCGAATCTTCAGAATCGGATTCGTCTTGAGGAGGTTGAGAAAATGCCAAATGAATTAAAAACAACAAAATGAGCATTTTAATGTAAAAAATAATTAAGTAGTTATACAATCCGAACGATTATTTAAGATTTAAAGAAAGAACCTCAAATGTAAATACTTATAATAACAATTTAAAATATTTTACATTAAATATATTTTATATTAAGAATGAGAACATAACATTAAAATACTTTGACTTAACAGTTTATTAAAATATTTAATAACAATAAGTATTGAGAAAGTTGTTTTTTGAAGTTAAAACGTAATTTTAAATTTAAATTATTTAAAATATTTTTTATTCATAAATTTTCAATAATAATTATTGTCAATCAAACTTAAATTTGATAATAAAGATGATATGTTTTCTATTTTTCATCTTATTATTTAACATTTCATTTACTCAACCAGTTGAATCAGAAGATTCAAAGGATCCTTCGGGTGCTTCCGGATATACTCCAAAACAGTCTGAATTCCCTTCATTGCAACCACTAACTCAAAGTCTTCCAATTTCTTCACAACCAAAAGATGAAGAAAAGGAAATGAGTGTTCGTCCTAAAGATCCTCAACAAAAACACAAACACCAAAGATTTCCATCAAGGCAACCTTTTCCAAGCGTTTTAAACCTTCCAAATTTCAAAATGTGTCGTGGGTATAAAATACATAAAAATAGATTCCACACAATAATGTTTGTCAAATTTTGGCCAGGCGAAAAATGCTCTGGAATTACATGTTCTTTACCTTTAAGTACTTTAAGAGTAAAGGAAGAGTTTTTCCTCCATGGATTTTGGCCTGAATTTACAGCCAACCAAAACATGGTTTGTTGTCGAAACAAATTTCTTCCTGTTGATGTTGAAAGAAAATTGATAGCCAATCAAGAACTTTTCCAAGAAATACGCCAAAATTGGATGTCAATAGAAAGTTGTCTCTTGGCTTTATATCAATGGGACAAACACGGTACTTGTTCAACAACAACGTATGGAGGCCCTGAAGGGCCCATTGATTACATAAAAACAGCACTTTTCCTTAATTCGAAATTTGAATTTTGGAAAGTTCTGAGGGAGAGTGAATTGAAAGTTGAACCAAACACCTTGTACGACATCGAAGAATTGAGGAGTGTCCTTTCAAAAACTTACGACATCCATCCAACTTTCGTTTGTGTGGATATGACTTCAGTTTTGGAGATAAGAATCTGTTTTGATGCAAAAAGGAATAAATTAAATCCAAACACAATGCCATGCCCCGAAAAAATATTCAAAGAAGAAAAAAAGCGATGCGCACAAAAAGTGATGTTCAAAGAATTTCCTGAATATTTGCTCAATCCAGAAACAGCTCCAAGAAATAACTGCCCGTATTAGAGTTCTTATCATCACTATTTTATATACAATTAATGTGATAGAAAATTTAATTTACGAGTTATTATAAATTCCTTTTTATTTATTTAACGAGTTTTTTAACACTAAAAATACAAATTAACGAGTTGTTTTAAATTTATATAAACGATCATTTGCTCGTTAATTATTTTTTTGTTATTAAAATAACCTCGTTAATTTAAGTCACTTTTAATGAAAATAATAAATGAAGTCAAAAAGTTACGAATTGACAAAGGAATCAAAATTACTTAAAACGACTGTTATTATCAAATGGTCATTGTATTGTTTATTTGTTTGTCTTTGGCTTTTCAACAAACAGAGGTTAAACCAAATGACCATTCAGAGTCTAATTCAAATTTACCAACACTTTCACCGTTGGCACAAGCACTTTCTGGTCGAAAAAGTGTCCCCACTAGAAGTCAAAGAAGAAGAATTTCACAACATAGGAGACAAACAGAAAAGGAAAAAAGTACACGTTCAGTTCAAGAAGGAAAAAATACAAAAAGTGGTGATGAGAAAAATCCAAATGATTTACCCGAAGTTCTTCAAAAAGTTTATGTGTCTAAAGGTGTGGAAATAACACTTAAAATGTTAGAAAGCTTTCAGATGTGCCAAAAATTTAGATAATTAAAACAATACGATTTTTTGATACTGTCTATGTATTGGCCTGGAGAAGCATGTGATGGAAAAGAATGTAGTCTTCCTCTTGGTACAACCAATATCGAAGAAAATTTCTTTTTACATGGTTTGTGGCCACAACTGAACGCAAATCAAAATTTATTTTGTTGTTTTTATCATAACACCATCGAAAATATAGAAGAACAGATGATGAAAGATGATGAACTCAAAATTGATATTTTGAATAACTTCATGTCAATAGAAAAGTGCAGATTTGCTGGATATCAATTTGAAAAACATGGAACGTGTGCACTTGGAGAATACAATGGAGAGAATGGAGCATTGAATTATTTCAAGGTATCCATTGAATTGTACAAGAGATTTAACATATGGACAATTTTCAAAGAAAGTGATTTAAGAGTCAAAACAAACAAACTGATTGATATCAATGAACTTAAAAAAGTTGTTGAAGGAGTTTATGGTGCAAAACCAAGTTTTGTTTATAAAGAAAAAATATATGTCAATGAACTTAGAATTTGTTACGATTCTTCAATCAATAAGT